GTTTATGAATCATCAAGTAACACACCCGATATTTTCATCGTCTCACAATTGCACGAAACATAAGCAAGTCAAAATAGTTACTATAGGAAAATTCGGTCGTCGAATGCAGACATCACTACTTACTACATAATAAAATCTCAAGCCAATCACTCAATAAACTCAAACAATGAAATTCGAGGAACATTCAACCGTTAAATAAGACGTCAGTCCAATCACTCAATAGTGGAAGGCAAGCTGACATGCGTTGGATCCTCGCTCAAACAATGAAGTTTAGTGGAAGGTAAGCTGACATGCGTTGGATCCTCGTTCAAACAAAGAAATTCTCTTAAACGCTTGTAATCTCGTTTCCCGACCAATAAATATATCATAAGGTGAGCTAAATGTTTCCATCCTCTCCAATACTCGAGAATTCCTCAAAAGATATCTTACCATGTCAAATTCATACTCACTGAACCGCATCGACTTAAATGTTATAGTTCTCAGACACGATAATAGACATTTAGGCACTTGTTCGGACTCCGGAAACAAATATCCCTCTTCAAAATAAACCCGCCTAGAACACTAAAAGGAGCATAACAAAATGAGTTAAAAACAAAAGAAGGAGCTATTGTTGTAAGAAAACTGAGAAACGGCTAAAGGCAAATTTAATTGCATCAACGATAAACTCAACTTACAATAAGGACTTGAAGATTATCAGCAACTTGAAGGAACTTTACAAGCAAACTCCATTTGAAGTTGAATTGGAGTTCAAGTTTAGTTAAATTATCAAACTTTACATTTGAACCAAGTCCTCTACGACCAAACTGAAAAAATTTAACCACATTATGCATATATAACAAAAAAAAAAATAAAAAAATTTAAACCACATTACGCATACATAACAACAAAGCCGAAAACTAATTGACACGAGTACTAAGAGATTGAAGAATCAAAACATACCTTCTTAAATACTCGACCTGATATCTTTAGGCACTTTACACAAGGGAGAGAACGAAGAAACTTCACCACCGTGGAATTGTAATTCGTTTCTAGATTTGAGAACTTGTAATATTTTAAGCGGATGTTCGCCTCAACTAAGGAGGTCATGGTTATAGGAATTGTTATCCACTTCAAGTCATAGCCATCCACTTTGAGATACCTAAGGGCCGGGGAATTTATTATCACCCTATATTCAACGGTACTACCAAAAGCGACGAGAGGAATGAGGTGAAGCATCTTTATCGTGGGTGATGATATGTTTATGCAGCCCACATAATCATCTTTCTCCACAAAGATGAATTCCAAAATCAACTCCACGAGTGACGGGCAGCCAGAAAGAAAGTGAGGAAGCGCATCATCATTCTCGCACACAACTCTAAAAGCATGAAACTTCTTGAGGCTAGGCAGAGAGACATTGTCCATAGCAGAGAGTGACACTCTACTATTACATGAAACACCAAGCTTCAAGACTACAATGTTTTTGCTGATGAAGAGGGATCGAGGGATTGTATCGAATTTAAGTTGAAGATAAAGATTCCGGATACTCGTTGTAATCCATGTCTCCAGTTGATACTCGTTGCAGTTGAGGTCACAGAGTATTAAAGTATCCATTCTTTTTGCCTTGTGCTGCAATATAACCCTGTGGATGATATCCAAGACTTGTGTTTCTTCTTTTCTGAAATGGAAATCGTCTCCATTGAAGTTCAGATAGGGTACATGGGCCCATATAAATCTCCAACTTCTTCCCAGAACGCTGGTCGCCACTGAGCGTTTAGTCGACATGAAAGAGAGAATGTGGCATATGACTTCGTCCGGCAAGCTGCTCAGCCTATCGATCGAGCCCATGTTTTGCTCTCTATCTGAAAGCTTTGAGCAATTTCCACTTGGTTGTTTGGTTTCCTCCATGTAATTTCTTTCAAAGGGCACCTGATTTTTCACAACTACAAACAAAAGCAGTAGCATTCAGAGGGTACCATGATTCATGGGTAGTTAAATTCTAAGTCGTCTAATGTGAAGAAGATGATGTGACAAATCAGTTGCATAAAATTTTGTTATCTCCATAGATTTTCTCTTGGGCACTTTCACAAACAGTTGGCTGGCAAATCATATCAACAAAACTGTGTTGTTTAAAAGGCTTTATTTTCATGGGTGTGTGTGTGTGTGTACAGATATATATGAACAAAAACGAAAACGAATAATCACAAAGCGGCGGAGATAAAGTACAGCGGCCTACCTGTGAGCTCTTCTCGCCCTCAATATAAGGTTGTATGGGTTCTCGTTAGGGTCTGTTGAAGAAAGAAAACAGAGAGGAAGAAGACGTAGAACTGTATCGGTTCCGGCGGATGGAGGCAAAGTGTATGGTTCCGGCCGCAAAGTGTATGGTTCCGGCGGGAGGCAAAGTGTATCGGCCGATTCGTTAGGTCGCCAATAAATTCGTCTGTCTTTGACAATCTTTTAACCCTGGATATATATAGTTAACAGGGTCTAGATTTTGAAACAAGAACATACATTGACATGTTTACATTCATAACTGATTATTCTTCCATTATATAAAAGTCGTTAGTCGTCCGCTAAGCGCTCGATCAACGCCTAACTCTTAGTCGGGGCCTAAAAATTAATATTAAATATCTTATTTTTAATTTATTTTACCTACTTACAAAATAAAATTATCTCAACTTATAATAACTCGACCTACCTAAGTCTAAATAATAAAATTAATATATTTTAAATTAAACATGAGAATAAAATAATATAGTAGGAGACGCTCGGGAAGTGCCTAGGCAGCCGCCTAGGCCAATTTTTATAGCAGTGATATAAAGCCTTGTCAAAATCTTGCATTGCAAAAATACCTTAGGAGGCAATAAATGATCCAAAATTATCAGAATTTTTGAGAAAACAACGAACAACCCACGAATCAAGTTTGGTTTAATTTAAATGGTTGAAAAACATTCCAACTTTCACTTCACACCCCAACATTTGTGAGTTTCCATCTCCTCCAGCCCTGAAAATTGTGCAATGGAGAAGTGCTTTTGGACTGTAATATAAATAAATTCGTGCAGATTGAAGAATTGACTGCGCAAAGTCGATAGGAACCGGCAAACCAGGTATTTTTTTTAAAAATTTCCGCCTCGTATTGAACTTCCGACAAGATTGCACACATATGAATTTCCTTTTGATTTTATTCAAGTAAAATACAAGACATACAACAGAGTATAAGGACTAGTCTGGAATAGATGGGACAACAGAAAAGGAAAGAAGAAAAAAATCGGATATCTTATCCACCTTCAACCGGAAGAAACAATTAGTCCTACACCAGCAACATAACACAATCTCCAAAGATACAATCACCACCTGAATACTTTAAGAACTAACATTTGTGTTGATCATCCAACAGTTAGAAGCACGCTTAATCCCACATGAACACGAGCTTGTATTCTACAGATTGTCGATGAAACGCTGGATTCCCTCGAGCGTGTAAGGTTGGCGTCAGCTGGGGAACATATCTCACAAAAGTAGTACTAAATATTGACAGAATAAAGTGATGTAGTGATATAATTTGTCGAAGTCCGAAAGTCGTGACTAAAATAATAATTCTTATATGTTTCATTTATCTGGCGGTTTATTTTTATTTCAGAATTGTTTCGAATATTTATGGAATTCTTGGTGACTGGTAATTTTCATGGTTTTTTTTTTCTTCTGGCATATACGACATTAAAATATAATCCCTCCCTATATATTAATTCAAAATGTGTTGAGCCTATGTGGCGGATTCTCATGCTTCGAATGCTGACATGGCAAAAATCTAAGCTTCATGAATTTGTTTTATTATTATTTTTTGCTTTGGAGTTAGGTTTGGTATTAGACATAAATAACTTTACACATATATTCATTTACTCAACACCCATGTTGTACATGGGTATTAGTACTAGTGTTGATGATTCTTCAATCAGTTTTTCTAGTACTTGCTGGTAAACGAGCAGAGCTGGCAACAAGGGTCGGCACTATACTAAAACAGTAAACTTTGAGCAACACTGAACATAACACTAGGGAGTTTATGAATCATCATCAAGTTACATACCCGATATTTTCATCTTCACGAAACATAAGCAAGTCGAAATAGTAATTACAGAAGTAGAAGAACTTGAGGAACATTCAGTTGTCGAATGCAGACATCAATACTTACTACACAATAAGACCTCAGGCCAATCACTCAGAATCCGGAATGAA